TATATTTAAGGTGCGCGCGTGTTAGTGTTTGTGTGCGCAGGCGGAGGAGGGGGGCATTGAGCAAAAAATAGTTTAGCGTTGAGAAATCTTTCCCCCTGCTCGCTGCGCAACTGTGGCAAAACGTGGGAGGGAGGGCTTTCCTCAATACCGTCTCTTGCCGCGATATGCAGAGCTTTTCTGTGAGCTGTCCGAATTGCTTCCCTCGTTATCACCACTTTTTATGACAGAAATGTTCGGCACAAGTCACTATTATGAGATAAAGCACACAACATATCCTTCCTTATCTTGGAACTTTCATGTTTTCCATATTGCAGATTCACTCACCCCCAAAAGACACACACACACACGCACACACACGCACACACACACACACACAGTCTTACATGCACCAAACTTTTGGCCATGACTGATCGCCCCTTCTTTTCCCAAGTGTCTGTATAAGAAGCCAACACAAACCCAAGCAATGTCCATCCCTGTATTCCGCGTAATACAGTTACATTTCACTTGTCTACTCTGTTAATGTTTTCCTAACGAAACGTGGCGCATTTTATACCTCTATTTTATAATCACTGTGCCCCCAACTTAACCAAAATCTGGATCCAACAGAATCCAGAAAAATGTGTAAAAAATGACAAAATACGAGAATGATCTTTATAAGCAATACACGTGTACTTTTGGCCGGGAAGTCCAACCAGATTAAGGCCCATGATAAAGACTGTACTTTATTTGCCTGTTCTGTTTGTGTAAAATATGACTGTTTTGGTTGATTCCAACTAGCGAAAAATTCTAGTTTAACCATCGAATAAACATTTTAGAGTTATTAGAAGAAAATAATTTTTCTATGCTGTTTCAGAACCTAAAATTCTTACCTTTCAGAGTAATTCCCACGACGAGCATCGAGAATATCACAGAGCACCCAGAGGACGACATTTTTGTAGCGTCCCACAGACATCAGTGAAAGTCACAATACGGTTCACCTGTTTAAACCTTAGAGGTATTTACAGACGTCAAATGAAAGCAGCTTTGCATGTACTTGTTTACTGTCAAAGGAAAATAGATCGATACATCGCGATGGGGCACCTTCAAATTACGGTCATGCACTTCGATCCCAATAACGTTAATTATGCCTCAAAAGCGTAGAGTGTAATGTGTATTTACGGTACCAATCTTTCCTTAACTATAATAGCTAAAGGTAATCCACCTGATACCCGTTGCGAGCATGCCAAGCGGATTGAAATCAGCACTTTGTGAGCCTTGCAAAGCGTCATCCAGATAGTTCTACCCGAAAAATGTGTGAATGTGTCCACATTTATTGACACCTGGTCCAGTAAAACTGCTCACTCGATATCTGCACATTGTTAGTGCTTTTTACCGTTCATCGACCGGTAACCACTGTCCCTTTATTTCGGATGCATAAAGCATATCGGCTTGGATGGGCTTATCGAATTATTTCACTTTGTCAAAATAGATTCGTTTTTTTATCAATTTGCCGGAATGAGACATTAAAGAGACCACCTGTTTTGTTTTGTCACTAACGATTTTTCAATCAATTATCAAACAAACCTCTGTGTGGCTTGAAAAAAAAACTACTGGAGTGTTTATACTGAAATTAAACGAGGAATGCTTAAGCACTGGATATTGTGTACGTTCGTTTGGAAGAGGTTCTGAACATTTGGCAGATGTTCGTTTTTAAAATGTGTTGTCAAGTAAATGTTCACGACATTCCTGGATAAGCAAAGAGGTCGTTCACCTACATGTATATATATCATTCTTACGTCATGATTAATTCATTTCTATGCATCTCCTATTTGAATTATCGACCTGTGTGATTTTCGATCATTGATCTTCTTGACTCATAATTTCAGACATAGCTTTTGCCTAGTATATTGATTATCACCGACACTTCGTTATTCTTACATGGAATTATGAGGTCTATAGAGTCTTAAGCTAATCAATTGTTGTTACCTGTGTAATGTTAGTAATTGACAGCCACAAGTGAAGTGTTTTGAGGTGGTTGACATAACCTCGTCGTACTTAAGCGGAGGGTGTAATATAAACGAGAGAGAACCATGTAAGCGGTTGTAGGGAGAGCAATGTACTGCGGGAGGTTGATAGGGAGAGGAAGAAATTGTAGCTAAGGTAGTTAGGAAGTGACATTAAAAATATGAAGGAACATGAATGTTGTTTAGTTCTTACCCCGCGTAAAGTCAATACCTTCGTCACACCTGATCTAATGCATTGAAACGAAAGGCAAATAATAAACGTAAAGAAATCATTAGCATTGTAATTGTTCATAGTCAACAATGACGGGTAAATGACGCATGTATCAGCACGTGTACAAATGTAACAGCTTCCCAGTGGCTGAATGAGGCTAGGGGGCGTTCACAGTGGAGCAAAAATACCTCCACTTACTCCACTCAAATCCTGATTCTTGGTGTTTGTTCAACTGTAAGGGCACATCGATGTAACAAATTTATTCAAAACGAACCATATATGCTAGAAGATTAATTTTCTAGTATGGAGATTGACATTCATCTATTTTTTTGGTTCAGTACTATTACTTCTTCTACTACTACTAATACTACTCAATAATAACAGCAACAACAATAACAACAACAGCAACAACAACAACAACAACAATAATAATAATAATAATTAGTTTGCAACTGGCTCTTCAGCCAGTGGCGAAGGATTCTTCTGCAAATGACCTTTGAACTTGAAGGCAATGGGCACTTACAAGGTCATGCGAAGCTCACGGGTTAAATTTGACCCCATATTCTGAAAGAGCATGTGCGAATCGGGGGGGGGGGGGTCAACAAAACATCACTTTTAACTACAGTCAATATTTATCCATGAAATGGCCAAATGACCATTTTTTAATTTTGGTTTTTGTTGAAAGCCATCTACCGTGTATGGAGGTTATGTGATCCGATGGCAAGCATTGATTTCAGAACAATTGCCAAAACCGCTGTTTTGGTTGTAAAATATAATTTATTATATTTCGTTGAGTTTTTTTTTTACAATTTTTATATTGTAAATTATGGATCTCATACGAAGAGTTGTTATCCCTTCAAGGCAGAGATGACTTTAGGCTAGCTTGCAAAGCGTAAATCAGATAGTTATGCCCGAAAAAAAAAGTGTGAATGTGTCCACATTAATTGACACCTGATCCAGTAAAACTGCTCATTCGATATTTGGCACATTGTAAGTGCTTTTTACCGTCCATCGACCGGTAATTCTACTGTCCCTTTATTTCGGATGCATAAAGCATATCTGCTTGGATGGGCACATATCGAACTATTTCCCTTTGTCAAAATAGATTTTTTTATCAACTTGCCAGAATGAGACATTAATGGGACCACCTGTCTGGTTTGGTCACTAACGATTTTTCAATCGATTATCAAACAAACCTCTGTAAGAGTTGAAAAAAAAACTAAGTGTTTATACTGAAATTAAACGAGGAATGCTTAAGCACTGGATATTGTGTACGTTCGTTTGGAAGAGGTTCTGAACATTTGGCAGATGTTCGTTTTTAAAATGTGTTGTCAAGTAAATGTTCACGACATTCCTGGATAAGCAAAGAGGTCGTTCACCTACATGTGTATATCATCCTTACGTCACGATTAATTCATTTCTATGCATCTCCTATTTGAATTATCGACCTGTGTGATTTTCGATCATTGATCTTCTTGACTCATAATTTCAGACATAGCTTTTGCCTAGTTTATTGATTATCAACGGCACTTCATTATTCTTTCATGGAATTATGAGGTCTATAGAGTCTTATGCTAATCAATTGTTGTTACCTGTGTAATGTTAGTAATTGACAGCCACAAGTGAAGTGTTTTGTAGAGTAACTGAGGTGGTTGACATGACCTAGTCGTACTTAAGCGGAGGATGTTATGTAAACGAGAGAGAACCATGTAAGAGGTTGTAGGGAGAGCAATGTACTGTAGGAGGTTGAGAAGGAGAGGAAGAAATTGTAGCTAAGGTAGTTAGGAAGTGGCAATAAAGAATATGAAGGAACGTGACTGTTGTTTAGTTCTTACCCTCGTGTAATCAGTAACATAAAGTCAATACCTTCGCCACACCTGATCTAATTAAAACGAAAGGCAAATGATAAACGTAAAGAAATCATTAGCATTGTAATTGTTCATAGTCAACAATGACGGGTAAATGACGCATGTATCAGCACGTGTACAAATATAATTGCTTCTCAGTGGCTGAATGAGGCTGGGGGGGGGGGGTCACAGTGGACCAAAAATACCTCCACTTACTCAGCAAAATCCTGATTCTTGGTGTTTGTTCAACTGTAAGGGCACATCAATGTTATAAATCTATTCAAATCCAATCATATATATATATATATATTCTGGAAGATTTTTTTTACTAGGATGGTGATTGGCAGTCATCTAATTTTTTGGATTTAGTACTATAACTTCTACTACTACTACGCTACTACTCAATAAAACAACAACAACAACAACAACAACAATAATAATAATAATAATAATAATAATAATGCGTTATCCATTTAAGGACTCTAAACATCTCTTAGTCTGTGATGGTGAAGTCATTAGGACTGGGCTCCCATACCTAGATCGATCTGACAGAATCGATCCATCTCCGAGGGGTTCTTCGCTAAATTGCGTTCAGCTTAAGCGGCTTAGCTGTCTGGCAAACCTACTGAAGCTGCTAAACGATAATTAATTTCCTCTAACAGCTTCAGTTGGCATGTATGACATCTAAGCCATTCAAGCTGATTGCAATTTAGCGAGAATCCCCTTGGAGATGGATCGATCCACAGTTAGTACGACAGTCTCTGGGAATGGTCACTAGGACGGACAACTACCAGACTGTCGACAGAGAGAACATGCTCGGTGCTACCTGACGTGACCGGTGTTACAGAGAGCCCATGACCCTCCATTTAATTATACAGGTTCAGGTTAGCGTGACGTGAGTGGTTCAAAATCTACAGGTAGGGCGAAGCTTTCCTGTGCAAATAAATGGCAACCAAATCCACGGAGGACGCTCTGTCGCGTCACGTCGGATTCCCATTTTCTGGTTGTTATTTTATTTTTTAAGCGAAAGTACATATTCTTAAAATCAATAAAATCCATACCACTTTTATTTTTCTTGGTATGCCTGTCGTGTTTTACCCACTAGAAGAGTAATGCTAGCAAATGGAGGGGTTATATGCCGGCAGTGACGTCACTGACTGATCGCTCAGTCACTGACAATTATGCCTTACAATGCGGTGTTAAATGCCTTTAAACTTTTACGTCGAGTTAACCTCTCACAGAAAACATTAAATGACAGAATATTGGAACACATTATCATGGACTTTTGTACGATGTTAATTTGTAAAATTCACCTTCTAGTAGCGATTGTACTATTTTTAAACGATGATTTAAAAGTCGCTATACATATATAATGCTAAATGAATACGTTCCGAAATTCAAAGTTATTTCCCCTATTTAATTTTGGTTTTGGAGGAAGCCATCCACCGTGTGTGGAGGTCGTTTGATCCGATAGCAAGCATTGATTTCAGAATAATTGCCAAAACCGCTGTTTTGGATGTTAAATATAATTCATTATTTATAATTTATTGTTTACAACGTGTGCGTTGTAAATTATGGATCCCATACGAAGAGTTGTTATCCTTTCAAGGCAGAGATGACTTTAGACAAGCTACAATTCCATTTTGACACGGCAACGATCTGAGACTGCGACATGAATTCAACCCAAAGGACTGTGACGCAATTTAGATCCTTTGGAGAATGAAGTTCATATGCGTACGCTCACGGTGCACTATTTCCCTCATTACTTTTTACTCTGGTATGACGCCTTCGAACTGTGGGCCGTTTCTTCCGTGTCGTTCGGGTCCTATCGCAGCATAACCGCCATCTACCGGGAGATCGGAGCCGGTGATGAAGGAAGCGTCTCTGCTGCAGAGGAAGGCAACGGCTGCGGCAACTTCTGAAGGTTCGCCGTTGCGATTCAGCATATGGCAGCACTTTAACCACTCATCTAAGCCAGGATCTATTCTCGAAAATGCCACCAGCTGAAATTGGAATTTCAGTAGTACTGAATTAATCTGAAAATAAGTATGAACAAAGGATGCCTATACTTATCTACATGTATGCTTTAGCTATCGCAAAAATAATTATAGTATTCTCAAAAGCAGAGTATTTTCTTGAATAATAATAATAATAATTCCATATTTTGGTGGACTTTGTGAAGTCTTACTGCTTATTAAAAAAGCATCAACATTACGGAAAATGACATAAAATGAACAATATTATCAAAAAAATTTAAATAATAATGTCAAAATTGTTTATATGAAACTTATTAAACATTTCGCAACTTTCTTTAAAAACGTGATATTTGAAAATATATTTCCACATCTTGACATGTCTCGATGCTTGATTTGTTTAAAGTTCGCCTTTGATCAGCCGGTGCATTATAAGAAGTGTTAAGCGTACCGCAGGCGTTTTTATCGACCCGGGTGTTATCGAGTTCACTCGTATTCCGTCTTTGGCAAGGTCCAGTGCCATACACCTGGTCATCTGAAGGACGGCGGCTTTAGAGGCACTGTAAGTCCAGCGGTCAGTCTGGGCTAGGTGACTGGAAACACTGGCCATGTTCACGATGGCCCGTATGCCTACTTTGGCTGAATAAATAAATAAATAAATAAATAGATAAATAAAATAATAATAATTAATACAGTTTGACATCTATGCAGTATTCAGAGCTTTTAAGGCTGTATCCTGGGTGTCTGAAATACCATCCATATTTGAAAATATCCCAAAGTCATATACATTTACATGTAAAAGGCAAAACCCGTCAAAGAACTACAAGGCACTGACAGAGTTGAGACCTCTGTCAAGGCAAGCTAATTCTCATTATTATTAGTTTAAATTAAATTCATTAATCAAACCACACGTGAAGTAGCTGCGTTTGAAAATGTCCTAAAGTCATTTTTTACAGTACGTCTGCATGTCCTATAAAGAAAAAATAAATATAAATATATATAAATAAATATAGAAAGATCAAATAAAGCTACCCATAATTCCGAATTCAGATTTAAAAACAATTAAACAATTAAAAATACTTACATATTTAATTCTAAAATGAAAAAAAAAAAAAAAAAACACGACAAAGACGTTGAAATAAAAATTTTAAACTGAATTATATAATCATAAGAGTATAAAACATCTAATCCAAGAGCAATGATTCGTCACTAGGAGCTTTTGTTTCGAAAAATAAAAAGAAAAATATTCGACTTGGAGAATCTGGGATAGGATACAATTAGGTCGAATGTATTTGGTTTTTTGAATTGGCTGAAGCGCATGCAGTCTTAATTTTGATATTGTAAACTGTTTTTTATTTATTTATTTATTGACAAAACACATCGCAAATACCTGACAATACAAACAAAGGGACAACACTCAATCACGCTCTCACGCTGAAGAGAAAATGTGTTATGCTATGACACTTCAAATTATTCGTACGCTAAAAATTCAGGTTAAAATAAAATAGTTGTAATTGATATAATAAACTCTTGGTGACATATACTAGTACTGTAGTTTTGCAACCATTAAATCAGAGAGACCGACTGTTTCTTTATTGCAACGAAACATATATAACGAAACGAATTAATAAATAAATGAAAATAAACTGTGTCAAACCGTTTTAAAAATAATTTGGCATCATTTTTTTGCAAGAAGATGTTGAGCGATATTCAACTGTCTTTCACAAGTCCCAGTGAACATTTACCAGTTCCAATAAAATTCAATCCGGTGTAACGTGAAAGAGAGTCCCCCATGATAGATAGTCAGGTTCCCGTTCATTTGTACAGGTAAGCCTCGCTCCACATGTAGATTTCAACCCACTTAGGTCAGGCTAACCCTAACCATTGCAACTGAACAGGGGGCGGACTTTCTGTAACGCGGGACCCTCACTTTCTTTACACCGGTTAAACGTGTCGGCTGCGTGCGATAACTCACTCACGCATGCCCACCAGCCAGGTTGCCGGACTCTCAAACTGGAGCGGTACACATAATTGTACCGCTCGATGCAAATGAATGTCACGTGAGACCTACCTTTTTTCAAGTGAGGAACACAAGCTTGAACCATGTTAGAGTATCCTTCCACGTTGATGCTCAGAGCCTTCCTCCAGTCGGACGGCGTGGCATCCAGACCTGGGAAACAGATTGCCTGTTAGTTAACATTCTCTCTCTGTCTTTCTCCACGTCCCTCCCTTTATATTAGTACATGCTATAATACCAGTCGAACGGTGAGATGGAAGGCAAGCTGCAGAGTAAGCACCAAAAGAGCTGGGGACATATTATACCAATGCACACACATTAGAATGACCTTTTCTATAATAAAGATCAATAGTCTTACTAAGAAGTAAAGTCCGTTTCCGACTACTCCTATCGTACCTTTAAATAGGAAAGTTGCAGCACAGTTGACCAAATAGTTGATGCAGCCGCCATGTTTGCTGGCAATGTCATCCACTGCATGGAAACACGCATCTCTGTCAGCGACATCGACGTGGTAATATATAGCGTCAGACCCCACCCCCTTTAGCTCTGCCTCGAGCTGTTCCCCCGCATCGCGATTGACGTCTAGAAACGCCACAATTGCCCCGTCACTCACAAGTCGTTTAACACACGCTCTACCTATGCCAGACGCTCCCCCGGTCACTACGGCAATGTGGCCGTCGAATCTCCCCTTGGTGAACATTGCGTCTAACTTGGGTTGTGGAGGTTCCATGTTGAGACGTTTTAGATATTGTGGCCCACATAAGGTCCCCAGCGAATAAATTTGGATTAGGTCAGCGATTTGGCTGGCTAAAGTAAACAAATACCGCTAAGTTGAGATATCTACAGTAGGTTACATAACTGACACCATTCAATCGGCGGATTCACATGGGCATACTGAATAGCATGCCAGGGATTCCCACTCTAAGGGTGCTTTCCCAGAGATTAAGATCGATCTAACTCCCTGGGGGTTCACGCTAAATTGCAGTCAGCCGAGCGGGCACCATAGTTAATTACCCCCTTACAGCTTTCAGTAGGCGGGACAGACGCTTAAGCCGGCCAAGCTGACAGTAATCTAGTGAGACTCCCCACAGGGATAGATCGATCTAAAAATCTATGGAAATGGGGTGTAAGGCGAACAAATCTGCCATCATTTCCCTATTTTTAACTTATCGTTAGTTTTTCTTCGCGCCTCTTTTATCAAAACTGTTATACTAGTTTTCTGGTTATAGCAAGGAAGACTAGTATTGATGCGTTATTTGGGGCAGTGGGATGTTGCGATATCAGATATTTGATGCGATATCAAATCCGTCATGTGAAAAGGGGGTGTTTAGTGAGACACCAGATTAAATGGAATTCTTATACAAATTTATTACATATGGATGGGTTTAGAAGTTACTGTCATGATGTATGAAAAGGAGTGGAGACATAAGAATGATGTTCCTATTAAATACGCTAACCTAATTCGCAATAGCCCAAAGTTATACCATCTTAGTCATATCTTTAAAAATTTGCTTCCAGCTTTAAATATTTATGCTCGTATCCCTTTGTTTAATGTGTTTTTTTTATTGTCAAATCGTGATGCTTTTCAACTGCCGAGTGCGTTAGGTGTGCACAGTATATTGCAAATCAATCGGTTGATATTAGTTCATACTCTTATTTGCCTGGCATTGGTTTGTGGCAAGCAGGTTTAATATTAGGAATGGATAGTTTGCATTTGATTATGCCTGTTGAACTGCGTGTTGCTGATAGCGGCCAATGTGTTCTACATGCGTCAAGAGGCCGTTTGGGGTGGTGAAAGGACCTGATTGCGGTTCTGTCTCTTCAGAAAAGTCAGTCAATTTTTTTTATCCCTGGATAGTAAGGTTGATAATTTTTGGAAATTAGAAAAAGAAACTAAACTCGGAGTTTCTTTGCAGGAAGATGAGCAGGTGTTACACCGCTGGAAAACAAAAATCACAAAGGAAATGGACATAATGTACTTCCATTTCCATGGAAGAATTGTTGTACTAACTTTATAGACAGTAAAGCCACGGTCACAACCGGACGCACGGATTTTAGGATCTTACGTCCTTTGCGAATTTTGCGTGCAGTAGAAGCCGTGGAGGTCGTAGAGGTAGACGAAAGTCTGCCTTGCGAGTTGCAAGGGCCAAATGAGACGTCCTTTCAAACAGGAACACTAATTGCAAGGTGCAGGGGCCGTGGAAATTGTACTCATTTCTTGAGCTTGTCTTGCTACCTGCGTACGTGGCACGCACTCACCACTATTGAAGAGAAAGCAACGCACGGCGAAAGTAGTTCCATTTTGTTTCACACTTGCCTCACACACTTGTGATGACGTACTAACCGCGTACTGTACGCCAGTTTTGCTACTGTTCTCCCATTCTTTCTTCTTCTTTCTCCCTTCTTTCCTGCTCTCTAAGGTTTTTTCTTGTCTTTTGGAGACATATTAGAAGCTGAATTAAGCAAAATTCGAAATTTTTGAAAATTGTTGCACAGGTTGCACGATCTTTTTTAATTTTCGAGACACTACCGTGCGTCGTGAGTACACCTTTTATTCTCCTGGCGCAGGGGTGACGCGCGTGCGACACACTTCCGAGGTGCTTTCGACTTTGATTGTTAGTTGTGAGGGTGTGCGCCGTACTGAACAAGCAAAAGACACTTGCTCCTTCATTGCTTGCGACGTGTGTCTTGGACCACGCACGTCTCACTTGCGAACTCCTTGCGAGTGAAGCAATTATGTACGTTTGCGGCCTCGCTGTTCGCAGATTATTCGTAGAATCTTTTGGACATGTCCAACATCCTCCGTACGTGCATACGGGCTGTCTGCAAACTCCAAATTTCGCAAGAGTGAGTTGCGTTGCACGTGAGATTCTGAGCAAAATTTGGACGCAAACAGGCCGTAAGAGCCCGTACGGCCGGTTGTGACCGAGGCTTAAGCTGGTACAAGTAGCTTTTCATCGTTCACATGGTCTCGAACGCAGGCTAGTGAAAACCAATCTCTACTAGAAATACGATGACAATGTGGAAATGTTGATATCTGACGGTTACGCTGAAAGAGTATCTGATGATGAAATTGCCTTGCGGGCAGTACAGCAGTGGGGGGTTTAGGCGAGTGTCTGAGATGTACCGACTCACCCCCCCCCAACACACACACACACACACACACACACACACACACACTTCGATTTCTGAAAAAATCACACTAGTGGTCCCCTCTTGATATTAGAACTTACATGTAGTTCTAAACCGTGCCAAATCCAAATGGCACCGTTCGCCCTCTGAAATACCAATTTTTGGGGTCCTTTAGCGGGCCCCTAACCCCACGCCCATGTCCTTCTCCGATTTTAACAATATAAATACGGTACACTGTGATGGCTGACATTCAACCAATGTATTATCAAGTGACTGCACATATGGGTACATATGATAAAAAAAAAAAAAAAAAAAAAAAAACGCTTTGCGTTTTCTCTGGCGTGACGGTGATTCTATTGTGCATCATGACCTGAAAGTGCACTTAGAGGCAAATGGTCCGGCAGTACGAGCTAGAACGAGCTGATACGCACGGTTAGACATCCCAGTGTTAGTGACCCCATTCGAGACATTGTTTTACGACACTTTGTTTAGATGAGCTGCTGAGGTCATTAACGTTTAAGAAGAAGCGATTGAGGTGATTATTAGAGTGAAAAAGGCCATTGCTGGGAAGGATTTAACCTCACGAAGTTCGTCGTGAATGACTTGGGAGTTTTCGGAAGGCATTGCACCTGATGACCGGGCTAAAGAGGTAAAACAAAAACAAAAAAAACTTCTGACGTACATGCTAGAGCGCTAGACATGGTATGGGACTTAAAGTCAGATGAATTTTATGATGTATTCAAACTTACTGGTAAATGTGAAGTCACGAGGCGTTCTATGCTCAGCACAATAGCTAGTATGTATGAGCCGATTGGGTTGCTTTCTCTGATTGTACTACGTGGAAAACTGATTTTCCAAGACGCGACGAGATTGAAGTTGGACTGGGACGAGCCAGTTCCAGCTGATTTGTATGAAAAGTGGATGGATTGTATTAAGTCTTTAGGTGGATTGGAGACTCTCAAATATGTTAGATGTGTCATTTCTGAGGAATTTGTTGACGGATTTTCAGAATTGCATGTCTTTAGTGATGCGAGTCAGGAAGTGTATGGGGTTTGCGCATATTTGCGTTCAATCAATGCACAAGGTGAAATACATGTATCATACATGTAATTAGTCGCAAAGGGGCGCTTAATAGCTCCACTGAAACAATTGACCGTCCTTAGACTGGAATTTGTAGCGCGCGTAACGTCCATAGATTTACCCCAATTTGTTAAACGTGAATTGGAAGTGCTGCTGTTGCCTACCGTGTCTTGGACTGATAGCAAAGTTGCTTTAGAATTAAGATGTGCCATTGCATAATTAGTGGATCCGTTCTTACATGTATATAATTAACTTGATTTTTATATTAGAGCAGATAATATTATTATAAATATACCATTTAAGAATTAAAACATCATTATATGAGTAGTTGTCATACATAATGCGTTTGATGTATGTATGTAACAGGATTATTATAAATATATTTGAATTGAGGTGAAGGTGTGAGTAGATGGGTTTTTTCGTTGTTCAGAGAGTGTTGTCGTCGGCCACAAGTCATTCGATCACGCAGTCACAACTAACGCAATGCCGCTAACATCTGTTTATGAAAATTTGATTAGTATTTATGTGCCAGATCAATAAAGACTTGACTTAAAAGACAGGAATTGAGTATTTTTGACATTCAACATTCCAGCAGCAAAATGTTAAATGTAGATAACAATCAGATATTAGGCCTACTGATAAGAGTGTGATGGCTTCACAATTAATGCATGTAAGTCTTTCCGGATCTGTCCGAATCTGTAACTATCTCACCTACCTGTGTTGCTAAAACAGCATAGCCCTTTCAGAGACATGCACATATCTAGCATATAATGTTGGACGGCGAAAGTCATTTACCGGCCGCCGTTAACGTCATTCAATTTGCATCTGTAATTGCTAAAGCATGGATTCCGTGCTAGAGTCCTGTCAAACTACATGTAGGTACGTTGTTAAAATAGATACAGGAGTACGNGTTAGTTAAAGTAATGAGATTTGATAGAATAATATTTTAATTTTTTTTGTAATTGAATCATGACATAGATATTTTGCATAAGTGTTTAGCTGTTAAAATTGTATCTTTGAGCATTCTGTGGAATCTTTATTTCAAAAAATTATGTAACCATAATTTTTTTTGTGGGAAAAGAAGGAATATGTTAAGGTCCACTAAATGCATGTGATGAAATCACTCATTTACATATTATGTTTATACTTGTAATCAGTCAGCATATTATCATTCACCTTACTTCAGTCTTGAATGAATATTTATCATCCTCTGTGTAGGTACTCAGTATACCTGATAAGTAGAACTGATATAACTTAAAAGTAGAAGCCCTCAATTGTTATCTTTTGCATTGCAATTAGTATTTAAATGAGTTGCTGCCACTGTGGCATGCAGATAGATTCTCTGGAGATAATGTGTATAAAGGCTGAATGCTTGGACTTAAAAAAGGACTTTTAGACTTGGAACTGAATATGTGAGTTCTGTGGTTATATTCCCTCTCCCATGCATCAGTGATAAGTAAAATATTAGAAGAACCTGGGTAGGGAGGAACATGGACCCCTACATAATGGCGAGCTCGACCAGGGTCACTGCGGGGGAGGGATATAGCTATGGATATAGCTATGGATCCAACTTTGAAGAGAAGTATGTGTATGAAGATGATGACTGGGATTCTGAAAAGGACTATAACATTAATGGCAGACTGGTAGAATGCCTGTCCAAGCTAGCCGACTTGTTACAAAGACAATATGTCTGTTTGGACCAGCAAAATAATGACATTTCTGCAGAGTCTGAAATAAAACCAGAGGAAGAAGTTAAAGATAGAAACCAAAGCAAAGTAGATGGACCATCAGAAATGGAGAAGGGAACTGAAGTCGAGACATTGAGTACTGCTAAAGAAGATCAATGTATGATGGAGTTTGTGAAGGAACAAGTTGTAGGTGAAGAAAATGATGGGAATGAACTGAGCGAGGACATTATTTTTGTAAATGATCAAGAGGTAGGAAAGAGAACTGATTTTGAAAAAGGGGAGAAACATAAAGTGTCTATCGAGAAAGATTATGAACAAGAGCTAGGGAAGAGAACTGATGATGATGATGACAACAGATTGAGTGAGAGTAGAATAGGTGAACTGAAGTATTATGAGCAACCTGATGTAGTTGAAAAGGCTTTAACAGATGATGTAAAGAATACGGATGAAGGACTTGATGATGATGATGATGACCCAGAGTATGTGGAGAAACATGGTGTAGATGAAAAGGCTGTAACAGATTATGTAAAGAATGATGATGAAGGACTTAATGATGAGCCAATGGAAATGGATTTTTCTAATTTCAAAGATACAGACAGAGACAAACTTACTGAAGTAGAGATGAAACAAAGTGCAGGTGAGGAGGAAGTTAAAGTTGCAGAGAATGAAGAACAAAGTGCAAGTGAGGAGGTGCTTAAAGTTGTAGAGAATGAAGACAAACAAGGTTCAGACACAGAAAATGTTTATGAGAATGCAAAAGAATGGACAGGTGTAAAATGGGAATTTCACAGAGACAGCAAAAAGGTGCAGAGAAAGTCAATGGCAAAGAAACTAAAATGGACACTTCGTCCACACTGCAAATTAAGATATGATTTTTTTTATAAATATTAAGTTAAAGGATGAGACATTTGTCTGAGCTGTACTGTAGGTTCGGAAAAATGAGATTTATAGATATTTTACACTTGGCTCAGTATTTGATAGTCTTGTTTCAATGTTTTAAGTAAAATTGCACCAAATGTTTCATAAATTAAATATTTAAATGTGCTTACAGCTAAGGTTAAAACTGAATTATATAAAATAAGTGACAATGTTTTTTTTTAATAATGGTAAATTACAACATGTAGGAAGATTTCCAAGATATATGTGTTATGAAATAAAGAATACAGTCTAAGGATATAACTGAAATTAAATTGTTAATGATAAGATTTTAAATGTACAGTCCATTAGGAAAGCTGTTTAAACAATCTGCATGATAACTGGACATTTTTCTTTGTCAAATTATCCTGAAAAACATAAACATTCAAATTTAATTTCATTAAAGTAATGACATGTCTTTCTGCAGCAATGAAATGGATAATGAACTGAATTTATTACCATTGTTAGTTAAAGTAATGAGATTTGATAGAATAATATTTTAATTTTTTTTGTAATTGAATCATGACATAGATATTTTGCATAAGTGTTTAGCTGTTAAAATTGTATCTTTGAGCATTCTGTGGAATCTTTATTTCAAAAAATTATGTAACCATAATTTTTTTTGTGGGAAAAGAAGGAATATGTTAAGGTCCACTAAATGCATGTGATGAAATCACTCATTTACATATTATGTTTATACTTGTAATCAGTCAGCATATTATCATTCACCTTACTTCAGTCTTGAATGAATATTTATCATCCTCTGTATAAGTACTCAGTATACCTGATAAGTAGATATAACTTAAAAGTAGAAGCCCTCAATTGTTATCTATTGCATTGCAATTAGTACAGACTTGACATTTAATATGGAATATTTCAGTTTCGAAGGTGTGCCTAGGTAAAAATGCGTTCTTTTTTCAAAAAAATCCGATCTCATATAAGATATGTGAATGGAGAAGTGTGTAGTCAGGTGTGTCGCTACCAATTAATTGAATCCCAGGTTTGTTGCGCTGCTGCATTATGTAATATGCAGTGATTCAATTGGATAGTGCTCCTTTGGGCAGGTCAAAGCTTGGCTTTGGCAAAGCATGGTTCTGACAAAAAAGTATCCATATGTCAGTAACTACTGCATAGAAGAATTTGAAATTTTGCATGCAAGTGGTCGGTTTTGCAGTGTATAAAATGAGCTATGCAGTGCTTTACAAATTTGTTAATCTGTGGCAGAATGGCGCGAAAAAGACAGACATTGCCAGACAGATAATTGCGTCAAACGAAACGGTCCGCACAGTTTTATAGAGTAATGACCAGACTGATGTACCTACACAGAGGCCACATCCAATATATTGAAATCTTACCACCAGGGTACAGGACCCACTTTCTTTCGGGGTATGCTGTTGCAACTAAACGAAAACCACCCAGTCCGTTCAGAATGAGGGGTAAATTGCCACCAAAACGCATTTTTCAAGACCCTTAACGAACACCAAACTGGTTTTAGCAGGTAAGAATACCAGACGACCCCCGAGGAATCCATTGTAAACCGCAAAACATCGTTGTATGTTTCTCTAATGAATTGGGGACCTTGGTCGTTTCTTGGTTGAACACTGAAACCTCGTGGGTTTCTTTATTGAGGTCAGATTTCACCTGTACCGCTCAACTAGTCAAAACAGAGTTTACAGACATCCAGAAGAGGCCAACGACGAAGCCTGTTCCACGTCTAAAGTGACTAAGGTCATTAACAGCGTCAGCATTTGGAGTAGATACCACATTGGTGCCAAAACACCAATGGTAGTCATCGACAAAAACCTGAACCAGATCAAATACAGGAATAATCTGGGAACCACTTGACTATCATTTGGTAGGGGGCACCTTATGAACAATTTTAAGTTGCACGATGAGATTGCCGGTTCACACAGAACACTTTTAAAAGCAGATTACTTACGGAACCAAGGGAATGAGCAGCTACCTTGGTCATCAAAATCGCCATATTTGGACCACATAGACAATATGTGGGTAGGTCATTACTCGCCAAAACAATGGCCTACATGTCCTACAACAAAACTGGACCAAATTGGACAGATTTTGACCGATGCCTGGAATGTTATGCCAGATTGAACTCTACAAACCTATCCCAAAGAATGCATTGCGACTTGAGAGCTCTGGTAGCATCCAGAAGATGTCAGGCGTAACAGCAACCGTTACTGTGACCAGACACTGACATGAGGGTCATTTGTGGAGCAAGTTACTCTTTTTACAGACAATAATTTGGAAAATATGGAGATCCAAAATATCGTTTTTAATGATAGTCGTATAACATAGAATAGGCAACGTGTTTTTGTTGGCTTCTCTGGCGAATTCAATTAATGAACTGATGTCACAATGACATCAAAGAGATAACTAAAAGATATTAAAACACGATTTTAATCCTGGTTTTCATTTATCAGTCAGCAAAATAGGGAAAAACTTGTGAAAAATGATTTGGAAAAAAATATTCCATATTAAATGTCAAGTCTGTATTTAAATGAGTTGCTGCCACTGTGGCATGCAGATAGATTCTCTGGAGATAATGTGTATAAAGGCTGAATGCTTGGACTTAAAAAAGGACTTTTAGACTTGGAACTGAATATGTGAGTTCTGTGGTTATATTCCCTCTCCCATGCATCAGTGATAAGTAAAATATTAGAAGAACCTGGGTAGGGAGGAACATGGACCCCTACAATGTGCATGTACCGGTAGAACTCACCAGTCCCTCACCGGTGATCTGAAATATACTGTACCGGTATAAACATCATGGTCATTCTCCGGTAATGGGGACCGATTTGGCCAAAAACTGCGAAAAATAAAATTTGCAATTTGACCAATTTATTATGAATCCATGAGAAGTACATGTCATGGACAGTTATTAGGTGAAAGGGGTTCCTTTTTGAGTGGTCTATTAATTAGTCACATATCAAACTATCTTGATGTCCAAAGTGAGATACCGTGTACGTTACTACAGTTTTTTTCTAACATTTTCTTACATAAAAAATATTATACAAAATTCTCATTTTTAAATACTTCCAATAGCTAAAATACCTTTTTAATGGTCGCGTGGTCAGAGAGACATAAACATGCCAACATCGCGTGACGGGTGTCATTTTCGGACACTGTCAATTTAATGTGTATCTTAAAATGAAAATAAAACTCAAATCTGGTCGCCCCGGTAATTGTTTTCATTGTGCACGGGAGCCGCGAGTGCGAGTGGAAGGTTTGATAGAATTTGGGAGAGACACGGTAGGAAATTTAAGGACATGATAACGCTTGATTCATAAACAGCTGTTTTTTGACTCGAGCGATTTTGTCGTAAAGACCATTTGATAGCACAGTTTTGATTTTCCTTATAATGTCGACAAATCCGTCTTAACTGTCAAAGTGTACCAAATCCATTTCGTTCCCAGAATAACGTATTTTACTAGTACACTTGCTTTTTTTCTTTTTGGTTCGAAGTTTGTATTGTTTTCTGAATCGCTCTTGTACCAGGCAGTATATAGGAAAGGAGATATCGATACCGGACATTGGTACATATAGTGTGCAAAGTACACACACACACACACACACGCACACACACACACACACACACACAGATACGCAAGGTGTACTTTTAGTATATAGATATGTGTGTGTGAAGGACATGTTCTAATCTTTAGGATGAATATTTAGTTTTATTTAAATAAGCTGCAGTCAATGGGACATGAACTGAGACATAAGGGCAATTTTCGGCTTTTATTGCTTTTGTGAAACCAACTACGATTAAACGTTATCTATACCTATTATCCCTACGTACATGCATATCTCTTTTTATCTATCTCTTTCTTTAGTCATCTCAATACTTCGGGACATGCTACCCTAATATCTTATCTGAAATCTGGTGACCATTTACTACTGAGGAAACTCAGGTTATAGACGCTGGCTGTGGGGTTACATGATAGTATACTTGATACTTGATAGTAGGAGTGCAGTATACCAGCACTTGTAAAATATTTTATGTACAAAATGTATGTGAAGTCGCACACGTATGGTATACGGTATTTACCTGTTGGTGGAGTCGGGGCGTTTTCTATTGACATTCAAAATGGTCCCACCTTCTAATTAGGCCTAATGCTGAGACAAGTCGTGTGGGAGGTTTGAGGTGTTCACTAAAACACAACTGCGCCTTTATTCCAGCTTGTTACAAAACACACACACACGCACACACACACACACACACACACACACATTCAAATTGACTTATACATTTATCACAATATTATTGTTTATTTCTTGCAGAATTCTTCCCAGTGTTTGTAAGTTGTACCTGACATGAAGAAATGGGGCTGGCTGGTTGTGGTGGGCGCCATCATCTTGCGTCTGTGCATTCACGCGGTTATGACGTCATATGGCGTTTTCTTGGAATACTTTATTTGTAAATTTCCGTCATCGCCAGTTGCTTTCTTAGGTAAGATGGCTAAGTTTTAAATGACTTCTTTATCATTTCCATAGACTTACTACTTAGAAGTATACGTGACTGATCGCATCTGGTGCAGCCCCGTTTTGTTAGACTTTTCCGAAATTTTAAGATTAAACATAGAAGGATAGTGAATATATGTAAAAAGTAGGCTACTGTTGAAATAAAATAACTCATATATTTAAAATGGGCGTCTACAATATTTTAATAGATAATTTTAACATAAATAGAACTACATGTAGTATATGTAACATTAATGAAAATATTATTTTTAATGGTAGAATCTATAGGCGGAATAGCTTACGGTATCAGCGCCATGGGAGCCCCGATATCTCTCGCCTTATACAGGAAGTACAAGACACGACGAGTGGTGATCACTGGAGTATTTGCTGCCTCTCTTGGCTTTGCTTTGACGGGAACGGTGCAAAGTGCTGGCGCAATATTCGTCACCTACGGGATTCTCCTCGGCATTGGTGCACTTTTGACCAATAACACGCCGTTATTCCTGATTGCGCAGTACTTTAAACCGGAAAACAGATATTATGTGCTTGCCACAAGTCTGCCCGTCCCATCCATAGCATTTGGTAAGTGGCTTCGTTGCTGTCCTTGTAAAAACGTGTCAGAAACGCAGGAACCCGTTTCACAAAAACCTAAAACGTCAGTTCTATTTAAGAAAAATTAAACGCTGCGGTGTCACATTTTTATTTTTGTTTAAAATCCAATAGGAATAATTAACCTGCAATGAGATACAGGTACTGGCAGAATATCTTGAAAAAGGTCATTAATTTCTTTAATGTTATCGATTTTATTTCGCTGTAAATTTGAGTTAAGGCAGCTACCGAGGTGACAAAGATTTCTGGCTACATGTAGCTGC